AAAAAAAAAAAAAAAAAAAAACACTGTAGCAATTGAAAAGCACTGTTTTTGCACAATATCTTAGCTATTTTCATGATAAAATTATCGTAAATGTGGTCAACTTAATTGCAATTAAAAATTTGAGTATTTAATCGAGATCTCACGATTTGTTATCTCAACTCCGTTTTGAAGTGAATATCAGGAAAACTATCAATTCAATATGCCCAATACCAGCAACGCTTGACATCATAATTCAATAATTCTAGTGCGACATTTCTTTCTCGTTTGTTTTTGATGACCATTCGATTCATTTTCTGAGCTCTGTCGAGGCCTGGGATTCAGCCGCGGTGACCGTGAACGAACCTGCTGAGAAAATGACGACAACTTGTTCCGCAGCTCAGGAATTAGAGTCCGCCCTCGTGCCTGCGCAGTGGCGAAAATGTTCATTTTTGGAACGCGGTTTCCCACTGAGATATTTCGAAACCGAGCCCCGATGCGCCTTCGTTCCGGGCTCTTTTCGCTGTTACTTTCTCCATCAGTGGACGCCATCCTCCCCAACTCCACACTCGAATGGCTATGGCCGAATTTTAACGGAGACCCCGAGCCGTGGTAGCTTACTTGGAGACCTTCGATACTGGCTTCGCACCTTTCCGCTTGGACTTCTCCATTAGCCTGTTTCAATTGAGATACATCTTCTCGCCCAGTGACGCTTTTCTCGGAGCTGTTGACATGCTCAACAGTTTCTTCTTTTTTATCTCCAGATTCCTTTGTTGGTTTGCTTGGCTCATTTAGAATCAATTGGTCCTTCTCCTGCAAATAATGACTTCCTCCGGTTATCATTCCTGATGCATTAGCATCGTCATTCTCTTCATCTTCAGCTTGTGATACATGACCGTTCGTTATTTCATGTTTTGCAATTGGATCAAACTGATCGTTCCCACCGATCATCTCTTCTCTTTTAAAACCAATTGAGTCATTTCCTTCCACATCTACCGGGTGACACCCCTCACTTTTCGCTCCCTCCTCAACGGTAACGTCAAATCTAGCTGAAGGACTCTCTGTGGAGTTGCCTCCTCCTTCCTCACGTTGACTATCTGGTTTCACACCATTCTGTGCTTCTTCCTCGTTCATTGTGTCGTCGTCACCTATAACAAACGTAGCTTCCGATGAGGATTTTTCCTCATCATTTAAGTCCTCTGTTTCAGATCTTTTCCCTTTGGACGATACTTCGACGTCTTCAGCAACTTCCTTCTGAGAGGAGCCAGCAGCCTGTAAGCAAAGGAGTTGGGTTACTTTGCTTTGTTTTTGTTTTTTAACAACGACATATTTCGTGAATCAAGAATAGAATTCATATTCGGTTATTAAGGTTGTTTTCATCACTCCAAAGCAGCGGACAAAGTTACAGTCGGAATATATTTGGCCTCACGGAAATAAAACGTTGTGTAAGACAGGGATGACTAAAATGACAAAAGTATTTTGTGTTCTCTGGTTATTTATCTGGTGTTATCTGCACATTCAAAAATAAATGGGAGAAGGGAAAGAACTTCGAACCACATTCATTATACTTTTAAAATCAAATTGAGTAGCCGGTTTTCCACTTAAAGATTTTTTTTTTCTTCTTGTTTGCTGGCGCGTTTGTTCAATTTTAGGATTTCATCCTATTTTCCTTTTCTTGCCTTTTTTATGAAGGTATGCACTTTTACTTGATGGTATTTTACGTAACTTTTCACAGGGTTTCACTGCTTCCGAATACAACTTCCCTAGACAACTTTGCAGGCAGAAAGAGATTATGGAAAACAAATAGCACGAGCAAGAAGAGAAAGAACATCACCATCTTAAGCATGAAAACAAATTCTCTGTCCTGATAATTTAAAATAAGACTGACCTCTGGGTCATAGTAATCCATGGGGTCAGTTTCTCCGGACACTTTATCCTCATCCTCACTCCCCGAGCCGCTAGAACAGCTCTGCGGTGCACTGGCACAAGAAATGTCAAACACTTCCTCGTCATTCAGACCTCTCTTAGCGAGACAAGAGTCCGAGAATGATGTGGGTAGACTTCCAAGTCTGGTACGGCGAATGGAAGCGAGGGAAAAGTCGTCTTTGTTGTCGTGAACAAATGATTTACTTCTCACCTTCATGTATGGTTTGGACCAGGTGCTTAAACGAGACTTGGACGAAATTTGAGTCACATTGGGTGCAATCTTGGTCTTTTTCCTGAATATCGACACAAACAGTTAAGAACACACAAACGCACGAAAAAGGCCTACCTGGGCCACAAATAAAGCAAGCTTTCCAAGGCCTGAACACCACACGATAGCTTCTAGTGCCACGCAAAGGAGTTGAGCTTTACTTTCGAAAGCTTTTAGTCACAGAACGTGGAACACAAGGTGCAAGATGTGAGCGAATGTGAAATGTATTTTTCAGATGGGATCAAACTCACCTGTCCAGTCGGCACTCTGTAACTTTTAATCCCAGATCTAACGATGCTCTTGCCGCGGCAAATGCGTCCGCAATACTAAGTAAAACACCTGAATGAAGAGAACTAGGTATTAGCACTGGCGCAAATGCAGTTGTAGACTCTTTTTGGTCTGATTTGTTTAATGTCTACACGAGGCGAATACTTGGCTTGTCTATTTCGCCGCCGTTTTTTGGTTATCGTACGCAATAGGCCCGAAAGAAAGCGTCTAACTTGACTTGACGGAACAGCGGCTTCGGATGATGCTTAAGTTTGAGACGTTCGACAACGTTTAAGACACTTGACCTTAGGAAGATTAGCAGCAAGACAAACCAAAAAGGAGGGGGGGGGGAGGGGATGCACAGCGTGTGAGCCTCCGCTTTTACTTACATGTTTACATGTTTGTAGGACCAAATACAAAGGATTCATAGCGCAGAATGTTTATGGAGCACAGCTAAAATCTCGCATTAAAAAATGAAATATAAAACAAAACAAAGCAAAACAAAATTATGAAATAGAGCCTGTCTTTACATGTGGGCGATGGCAAAGTACCAGTTCCGCCTCACTACAAGCGAACTGAAACTGAAAAAATTGCAGAAACTTGACACAATTCAGTCATAACACAATGACCCCCACTTCAAGAAACCCCAAGTATCCGTGTACATCATTGCAGCACATACAACTAGGCCACGCCGTTGATTAAAAGTGAGTTAAGCGTCAAGCTCAAGAGTAGAGATGCATGCTTTCTAGATCCATCACGCGTCACTTACTTCGGGCGTCTTCCGCTGTACGATGTTGTATGGTCCGAAGGGTGTGGAAGTAACCTGAGTTACCCTGATACCGCCGATGTATCCGAATGAAAAGGTGTTTGGACTTAACAGTTGTTTCGAACCCTAGAAAACAATGACAGGAGGTCAACGGAATGCTTTGTGAAGCTTCATTTTACAACATAACATTTAGCCTACTGAAGCTCCTTTAATGTTAATAAAATCTGGTCGGATGTAGACATGATATTTAATTTTCTGGAAGGTTTTACGCAAGTAGCAACCGCAAAACAAGAGCCCTCAGTCAGTCTTATCACTAATTCCTGTAACCTATGTGCAAAATCGGGTTCGTTTCTCCTTAACGTTCTTTGTTGTGAGGTTTTCGTTCATGTTAGTTACAACTACCTTATCAGAGAACAACTTGGCTTATAGTTATACAACCAGCGACAAAATTAGTTGACTGACACGTTCTGTTTAAATGATTATTTTCAAGTGCAGAATAACACTATTGTTTGCACCACGCTCAAAATCATTGACAAATCCCCCACCCCCCGCCCTTCCCCATTCAATGTTGCCTACTTGTAACTAAAATATTGTGGAAGCATGTTACGAAATTGCTTTGGGGAAAGGAGGCGAACAGGTTAACTTAAAAAGGACTAAAGGGATAAGAATATGAGGTTAAAGGCGGTTGAAAGAGACAACGTGTCACTAATCTTGTCGCCGATTGTAGGTTCGCAAACGCGTAAATTACCTACCAATCTCGATCTTCTCCAAGTCGTCGAGGGCAATGCGTTCATACTGTGTTATTCTCTCGGCTTCATCGTCATAGCTGAAAAGTAAAAACAAATTTGCAAAAATAACAAAATAAATGAATGAAGAATTACTTCCTTCAGTGTGTCATTCCTCGAAGACAATCGAACAATAAAGACTGTGCTTACCTAGCTACGTAATAAGCGTGGTAAGTAAGTAAAAGAACGACATCCTGATCTTGCGTGACTTCACCATCCGTGCTGAAAACGACAAATGAGTAAAGAGATATACAGTTGGCATAAAGAATCATGAGAGTAAATCGGACGGAGACGTCCCATGTTTTGGACGTTCTTTTTTTTCCTCTTACAAATAAAGTCTAATCCATTAGGGATTGACAAGCAGCTTCAACGTACAAAGTGACGAGAAGCAACATATTTTCAGCTAGGGAGTAAAAAAGGAGGAAAAAACGGTCAAAAAAAAAAAAAAAAAAAAAAAAAAAAAAAAAAAAAAAAAAAAAAAAGAACACAACAAAGAAACAAAGCAAGTCACCAAGTTTGGATTAGTTTTAGCTTAACAATTGCGTTTTCAAGAAAGTGGCCCAGACTTTTTACACTGATTACACAACAGGGCACGTAAAAACCGAACACAATCCCCGACTGCTTTCGAGTCTCAATTAAAAATTGCTCCAACGTTGATGCTTTTATCACTGAGTTAACGTAGTTTATCAATTACCTATAGAAAGGATCAACCAAAGCCCAGCCACCTATATATTCCTCTTCATCAGCCAGAAGTAACTGGTTACAGTGCTGTATCAACTGTGCAACACACTCCTCCCTCTCCATTGTCCACTGCTCCTCTTCAGGGCCTTTATTCATGGCCGCAATTAAAGCTGCAATGTCCTCTGTGACTGGGTTTCCTAACATTACATCTAAATGAAGGTAACAAAAAAAATTAAGGACCGTTTCTTTCAAGTGAAAAAAAAAACTAAACAAAAGAAAAGCAAAGACAAAAACAAAATCAAAAACACGATGAAAGCTGATATCTAGGGAAAAGATGAAATTTCAGCTCTATGTGTATTCAGTCTGCTGAACTTAAAACTTGCGAGAACTCCTGTGTAAAATATTTTATTTTTTGTAAGCGTTAATTAGATTTCCGCCTTCTTTTAACATTTACTCGGCAAGAAGCACTCATATTCACAATCTCCACTCCACCAGAAAGCAGATGTCAAAATAGCCTTACACGATATCCTTCACGAAACATTTTAAAAGACATGAATACCATCTGAATATTGATGGCTGAGTTACAATACATACCAATTAACGTCTGCCTATAAGCCGCCTTAAATCTGTTCAGGTAGTATCTAATAGGGAAAACAAAAACACAGTGGGATTGCAAGAGTACAGTCAAAATTTGGCAAAACATATGGAACATGGAGCACCTTTTTCCAGTCACAATGTGCGTTCACACAAGCGAACCTTTAGACATTCTAGTAAAACAAACCTGTTAGCAGAGTTGTAACCATCTTTCATAACACCAGTAAACCTTCTCTCACCCGTCCTTGTGAAGTCTCCCTGGAAGGACAAAAGAAACAAGAGTTGTGCTTACTTGCTTGCTCGCTATATAAGAATATTCAACTGGTCGCATTTTGTATGACTTATATTTTTGAAGTTCGTAATTTATGGTCAATTCTATCTTATCCATTCTTCACCCTCCTCGTTCCTATTTGGTTTATTTTTCACATTTTGGTGATTCCCTCTATAAAACTTACATTTTGTACGGTTAAAGCCCCAATAATAGAAAAAAAAAATTAGAATACCCAGTATACCTTCATTGCCGCAGTGCCAGCGTATTGTCGACTGATTGCATCGCCATTACTAGCCCACATCTCCTGAAAAGCTGTCCTTATAGACGAAGGTAGGATTTGGTCTGGAAGCTGTTTGCCCAACTTTTTCAGCTGGGTTGAAAAAAAAAATGGTCAACTACGAACGGCCGCACTGACGGAGGGACGGAAGTACAGACGCCCAGAGAGACAGAGGGTCGGAGTAACGGACGTAAAGGTTAAGGGACCGGGTAACAGAAGGATGGAAAACCATGGTAACGGAAGAAGAGATAAACGGGATAACGAAACGACAGATGAACATGGTAACGGAAGAACGGATAAACGGGATAACAGAAGGACAGATGAACGAGGTAAGGGAACGACAGGTGAGCAAGATAAAAGAAGGACGGTTCAACGAAGTAACGGACGGAAGGATGGAAGGTTAGGGTGGTGCTCAGAGGGATCAAGGGACGCGGTAGCGAATGAACAGACCATGGTTCGTACAACTTCAGACAAACAAAATTCAAGGACTTTTCAAGGACAAAAAATGGTTTTCAAGGACTAAGTTTTATTCATAAATCTGAACCATTTACGATTGAACACACATTTGCCCATCGCTAAATTAAATCGAAAACAAAGGGAAATGAAAAATTCATAGACCAAAACATGGCCAAACCACTACATGTTTACGTTGCCCTTTAAAACAAAAGCACATGGCGGACCACGCCACATCGGAGACTTTGCGCATGAAATTGAGGCACAGATCCAACTTTGCTTCATGTACCACTCACGTTTTGTACCGACCATTTCCGCTTTTTGGTAGTTACTAGTGGACAAATTTTCCATAGCAAAATCGTTTAATTTATCAGAAAAGCGATAAGGCGCACAGAAGTTGCTAAATTTCAAGGACTTTTCAGGACCTACTAAAGAAATCAAGTACTTTTCAAGGACTTAACCAAATTCCAGGACTTTTCAAGACGAACGTTAAAATTCAAGACCTTTTCAAGAGTGTACGAACCATGCCAGACGGACGGACGGGAAACGGTTCGGGGAGACAGAGAAACGGGGTGACGGACAAACGGACGTACGGGTGTATGAACATATGCAAGGACCAAGAAACGGGCGGACATATGGACAGACGAAGGGACGAATGAACGATGGGATTCAGAGATGGGATAGCAGAGGCACGGACACAAATGACGGGCAACGGAGACACGGAGGGACGGAGTGACGAAGAAGCGGGGGGGAAAACGAGGTGGGAAGGAACAAAAGGACGAATAAAGTAGGAAAGATTGAACGAAAGAAATAAAGGTCTGTTAGAAGATGTTAGAACAATGTCGTTTATCGCAAACTTGCTTTTCCATTTGTGGGGTCCTTAACAAAGTACTCAATCTGTTACAGCCGTCTTTATTACTTACCTGTTGTTCCATGATGTACCGCGCTAAAGCTGCTTGCACAACATTCGTCCGGTCTAGACAGTCCATGCAGTTGACTCGAAACACACCTCTCTGGTCACAAATAATTCCTTTATCATCAGTCCTTTTAAACAAGAGCAAATACCCCTCTGTAAAACCAAACCACTGATGAATGAGATTTGTGTGTGCAGTTAAGGGAAAAATTTGTAAACAATGTCATACTTTCAAATTTCTGCAACGTGCATGTGCAAGATCAATAAACTAACTTCTTTGACAATTAGTTAAGGGAGGCTAAAAAACATTTTATTTGCCATACCACCAGTATCTCACTTCCTTGATAACGTCAGGAATACTTTCCACCAACACTGACACGTTCTCAAATCTCATTCCACGACTGCATTAAAAAGCACAAAAGCATCTTAATTGATTTAACTTGATTTGGTTCAATTCAATCATCACTGCAACACAATTCGTGAGGGATATGGGCAGATATAAGAGTCATCTGGTTTCTGGAGCATTATTCTTCAGTGAGGAAATTTTCAGTGTCATTTGATTCAAGAAATGAAAGAATTAAGTAAAAAAGAACTTACCAATACTCATGAAAATCAAAAGTAATGTAGGTGAGGAAAGGACTGTTGTAGGCCAGGATATTGTCCATGAAGACATCACTTATTATCTGGTAAAAGCATGCAAATAGTTTCAGTTACACAGCACACCTCTCACAATACGAGTAACCCATAAAAAAAATAGAGAGCTGCTTATAACTAGTGCAGACGGCATATTCTTTTACTTTACATGGTAAAAGGGGGGTAAGTAGCTAAACAAACTGCGGTGCTGCCTCGGTGTGGGAAATTATGAGATAATTTAGTTTTACCGACTGAGTTGGATATTTTAAATTGGATACCGCACAAAGTTTCTAAAGCTCACGTTTTAATCGTTAGCTCGTTGCCATCATTTTAATTAAAATTAGGCGGAGTCTAACTCCCGTGGATTTCCTTTCTTCTCTTCAAGTCGTGTTGATCTATTTCTCTATTTGCTTATTTATTTATTTTTTCCAAAGTAACTATAGCTTCAGTCAATCAATATGTGATTTACAAAAGTTATTTCAACGTCTCTCTCACCTTTTCCCTTCCTGATTGATCCACTAAATTAATAACCGCCTGAAAAAGGAAACAACACGTAGTTAGTAACAGCATGATAACTAATAGGCACTTCATAAAACAAACACAAAAAAATCATCTGTAAAAATCAGTCAGTCTCCAAATAAACGCCTTATTTGCTGAATTAACACGGATAGTGTGCGTGAGTCGTTTAGTTCAGCCATTATGTTGCGCCGCTTTCCTTACGCACTAGCATGGTACGTGCGTAGTTAAAACCGGTGTAACGATTAAACAATTGTTATTTGGTCACAAACGCTAGAGTTTGTAAAGTTGACATAACGTAAACTATTTAATACATCAAGAGCTAAAAATGATATCGGGTAGTGTTACAGATTGTTTGAAAATGAATCAGTAAATGGTCGCTATGATATATAACTGTACTTACCACAGTTTTGTAAAGTTCCAATTGATGATCAAAATGCTTTCTAAAGGCAAACTGAGTCTCCGCTTCATCTGCGTGTTAAAAGGATGTTCATAAATTAAAAAAAAAAATTGCTCTTGTTGACAGCTATTTCAAGTGCATTGTGTTGTGCACTTGAAATAGTGCACAACATAATGCCGCCACTTAATGCCGCCAATTTCCTCACAAGGAAAGTGAAATGACTACAGATTAGTTTTCCTCTCATTCTTGACTTAACTACTTCACGGAGTTTCATCTGTGAACTACTAATCTTCTTCAGGCGCTAGGATCGACTTTTTTACGCCGTGATTGCGGTGATTGATCCACCTGGTTAGCAGAAGAAGACTGACAGTATGCAGTCGAAACATTGTGATCCACACCGGAAGTGATGACGCCCTGACAAAGGACAATCACCAACCTCGTTCCCAGGGTCTCTCATCTTCCCGCCCCCCTGGAGCGAGCGAGGAAAGGGGCTCGCTCCAGGGGGCGGGAAGATGAGAGACCCTGGGAACGAAGTTGGACAATCACTACATCGTTATCGCAATTACTCGCGATGGGTAACCCAACCCTTTAGGACAGTATTAACAAAAATGTAATCATAAACGATATCTCTCACAATAATTATGCTGTCACAGTAAAAAAATCATTGGAAAATATCAGTGGCGACATGAATATCGGTAGAGAAAGTACAAGAAATACAGTACCGCTCACGTATAGATTAGCTGTAAATACGATTGTGGGACACACACATATGTGCGTTACTATATGCATTTGAACGCGTCTACATATGTCTAAATACGCGTGCACATGTGCGTATACACGCGTATGGATGTGCGTATATACGTGTACACATGGGTGCATGTACGCACTTTATGTCCCTTTGTGTATTTGTTGTTTAATACTACAAGTTTCTAGTGTATACCTCTGTCTAATCTTGGTGGTGGTCGGTATTTGTACCCAGGTTGACTCCAGTACACTGGAACAGAGCCTCTGACTTGCGCAAACGAAACATTGTGGGTTGAAGTGCAAATTATCTGTTGAACAAAAACATTAGGTCAGGAAAATAAAAACAAGAACATTCAAAGACTATGATAGGCTGATGGCATTAATCATACCGCCCGAGACTAAAAGACTAACTTTCGGCACTTGGCCACCACCTTCTCTGCCACCCAACTGTCAATCCTCATCTGACAGCAATGGAAAAAGGAAAAAAAAAAAAAAAAAAAAAAAGCGCTTTAAGAAAAAAAGCGCCCCACAGAATTTGGATGCACTAATGAAAAACCCCTTTTGCATCACTGTTAGCCATGTTTTGCCACTCTCGGGTAGAGGTGTGATGCTTCAGAGGTATTGTTGCACTAAGTCGTAACCGGTAAATTTTGATTCGATGTCTCTGTTTCTGCTTTGACCCTTCGGCGCTTAAGAGTGACTAGCATCTAATTTCTCCTTACAATATCACCCCTGAATCACACATTAAGAGCACAAGAAGAAAGGAAACGATCATCAACTAAAGAAGCTTTTGATTGTTATGCAAATTCTCCTTGGCAGCTCCTTAGGAAATGTATAGAGAACAGCAAGGAGAATATGCATACAGCTAAGTACATAGAGGAAACTTTCTCTAGTTCTAGCTCTGAACTTCAAAGTTCACCGGACAATTGTGAAGAACTGGAAAACCTGCATTCTTCAGAGCTACATGTATGTAATCGACACAGTTGGAGAACGTGACGAGCCCTTAAGTGCATAAATTCTCAAACCTGCTCTGTTTCAACAAAATTTGCCACATCTCCGTTATCATCCACACCACGCCTCCTGTAACGAGTCCCTGGAGCGAAAAATCAACGCAGAAATAGAATCAGTATTAAGAGTGGTTTGTTCTCACTTAAACTTTCAACTGACTGTCCACTTAATTCAAATTCTCATTAGCTTTTGGGGTTCTTCCCTTAGCTCAGACTGGCAGTTGTAATTACACTGTACTGTGGTTTTGGTTTTACAACACTCAATCGAAATGTGCTCTGAATACGAATTCATGTTATCAAAGACACGTTTAGAAAACGCAAACCCAACCACTTCCAGGACCTGAAAGCTAATTGTGGTACTTCACTAGGAAGTACCACAATTAATAATTCATTAATAACTCAATTAATTAATAACTCACAATTAACACCATATTTTAGTGTAGACCTTACCAGCTCGATGAATACTCCTCCTGGATAAAACAACCAGCTTGAACTCCTCTGGTGGGAAAGGCGCCACTTTCTTCTCAGCATTTTCGTCTGCATCCTCCTCTTGGAAAGTGTTGATGCAGTGCTCTATTTTACAGTAGCCTTGAATTATAGGGGTGGCCCACTTGCTAGCAAGAGGATCCTGTTTAAAAAAAAAAAAACAAAAAAAAAACAAAAAAAAACAATTTTGTTGAAATAATCTGTCAAAGTCAAAGTGTGTGGCTAATCTGCAATGCGTGAAGGTGTTCGTGTAGCTGTTGCATGCCAAATAAAAATGAATAATCTGATGTATACATAGTATTAATGCCACATGAATGCCAAAAAAAAAAAACAAATTAGGAGAGAAAAAATTTGTTGCAAAAACCACACTGGCTCAGTAACTCACCTCACTGGTCAACAGCTCTTTGACCATAAAGTGGTTCCAGAAAAACCTCTTGTCACACTAAATATTAAAAACAAAATGTAAAAATAAATAAATAAATAAATAAATAAATAAATAGAACATACAGCTCCCCATTTAAAATTACTCATCATACCAACATGAAGAATGAATTATTTGTGATGTGTAATGCCTGAAGGACATCATGTTTTGCAGTAAATCCATTTGCAGATGTGGTACATATTAAACACATGTACATCACTTACCCTCTTCCAAACTGGATCAGCTGCACTGTATTTTCCACTAAACTGTCTCTGCAGGGTGTTGGTCAGGTCTCCCGTTGGTGAGTAATAAAAGGAATCAGAGTCATTAAACATCTTCTGCAGCTCCTGTACAATGAGAAAAATATTTCATTTCAGTGTACAAGCAACACTGCTTAAAAAAATGTTGATGAAACCAAGTGGAGTGCACCCTAACAGTACAGCTGTAGGTGTGTTATTATAACAGAGATAGGAAAACTTGTATAAGCAAGAAGCAAGAAACAAATTTCTTTATCTTTTAACTCCCAAGGTCCTAATAAAAATTCTCCCTAATTATATGCTGCTATACTTTTCCTTGTAAATGACACCTGAGATTTTGATCTTATTCCAAAATATCACTAGTAAATTTGTCTGTTCTCATAACTTGTTTATAAGATGTCTGACGGGAGTTGCAAGGAGAAATTGCATGTTAATCACTTCTGGCACTTAAAGGGTTAATCAAGAGAGTGATTGCAGACAGACTTTGTTAACAGAAAGTATTGTTACCAATTAATCAAAAAATCATGTGCAAAGATTAAACATAATATTTATTTACAACAGTTCACTTTCTCCTGCGAGAAAATGAACCCACAAATCTGAAATACATTTTTGTACATTAATTTTGTCCTTCTATCTATTTAACGTCAAGTCTATCAGTTTGTCCACTATACTGTGCTTTCCTATCATTCATTTTAAGTACTGCTTGTTTCTTTTTTGATTCCTCTCTTATAAAATATCATCGCAGTGACATTTTAGTGGCTACTGAAAGCCTACACAATAGGAGTATATGACTACTCACAACAAGTACTTACCTCAACAAATCTTCTTTCTAACTTCTCTTTGTCTTTCAGGTCCCTGTCTTTGATGTTCTGTAAATAAAATTCGACAAACAGCTGAGAGCCTAATAAACAAACTATCTACAGCAATTTATTGATATAATTATTCTAACTTATAATCATTTACTTATCCATTGCTCGATCCGTCTAATTACTTATTCATTGTTTTTTTGTTTGAACACATTTGAAGGCACAGCTTTTTTACCTTTTCTTTCAAAGTGGAAGCTGCAGTTTTCAGTTTGTTCCACGTTTGTCCCAGTCCTTTTTCTGTTCCAGCCAGTCCTCCTCCAACACCCATAATTTTCCGAGCCCGGCCACCATTTTGATGTTGTTCACAAGGCTAAAAGAACATGGCATAATTATATGATTGTATTAATAAATCAACCATTCCTAAATGTATTTATGTAATGTATGAGTGGCAAGATTACAAAATTATACTGTACAAAAATGAAAATGGAACTTCACCAAACAAAATTCAAGAAATCAATGTAGGTGTAGATGTTAGTTGATAAACAATAACCAACTTATAATGATGTCTTTCTCTGTTTTCTTGTTTTTTGTTGTTGTTGTTGTTGTTACAAGTTGTTGTTGTTACAATTTGCTGTTGTTACAAGTTGTTGTTGTTTAATTTGTTTTGCTTTTCTTTTTTAGGGTGGCCGGGATATTTTTTTGTCAAGCATCAGTCAGAATAAAATTTACAGTTCTGGCTGCTTAAGATGCACCAATGTAAAATTGTTACTGATGTTTACTTTCAATGAAACATTTTTCAGTTTGAGTATGCATGTCCTACATTTTTGTACCATTAAAAAGATAGGTCAGCCACTACAAAAAAAAGAAAAAAAATGTCATGGCCAGCTGTCTCCCTAAATGTATTGCAAAAATCTCTATTAATACTTGTGAGGAGAACAATCAATCAAACATGAACCAAACCACAATAAAATGATATAGTCATTGCCCTCTAATAATTAATAAAACATACAGCTGTATTGAAACATGTGTGTACACTGTGCTGCAGCACTAATACTTACATCAAGATCAAATTCTGGCGATTCACTGGAAGACAATGTCAATACCGCTATCCTGTCAATTCTGTAGACTTCATGATCTCCTGGTAAGTTACCAACACGTGTTTGCTTTGATATTACTATCAGTCTCCAATCAGCACCTGATGGCATGAAATACAACAGATTATTACTGAGGGCAGATTCTAAGAAAAGAGACATGCACAATGCAAGAAATTAAGACCAAATATAATGATGACTTTATTTAAACTCGGATGAAAATGAGGCTTGTTAGGCCTCTAGCAATAGAGATGCTAATATACCGAGAAAAATGTATGAATATAAATTACAGAGTTTAAAAATAATATAAGCCTAAATATAAAAGATGATGATATAAAATTACAAATTAATTGCTAATAGTTTTCTTATCTCATTCCTGAAAGGGCCAAATTCCGCCATTAATCTTAGCTTATCAGGTATTAAATGCATTCCAAGCCTTAGCAGCAATGTAAGAAGTCGACTTAAGGCTGGAAGTTGTGGTCTTAACTACAGGCCATAAGTTGGGGTCTTAGCTACAGGTAAAACAAGTTTGTTTTTGCCCCTAAGATTTTTCTTATTTTCTCTTACTTGAAATGACGATTGAATCTACTGATGCATGTTGTTATAGAGGGCTTTAAAAATTATTAAAAGCATATCTTGTTTCTACAACTTAATGAGTAACCAAGTAATATATTAACTGAGGACACTGTAATACACCCAGGTGCTTAACCAACACACTAATTAAATTGCCAAAAAATGTCCTATAGATGACTGGTTGTAATTCATTACTGAAAATTATTTACAACTGAGAAGCTTGTAATGAAGCTTAGGAAGTGACTGTTGAGGGCAAATGTATTTTGTATTTATCTTTAAGCTATTGACGTCCAGTGCGCCCATATGCACCCATGGGGACCCACACCCTTTCTACGCCTTGTGACAACATCACTTTTGACCCTGGAGCACGAATTTGAGCACGTACTTGAACAGGTTGAAAATATCTTACAAACGATACCAGAATGAGTGCAATTGAGTGAAGGAGATTGGAGAAATAGCCAAAAATCCATGTAACTTTGACCTGAAAATCTGGATGAAAATCTTGTTCCATTACCCACCTAACTTTCTGAGCATGTGGTTTGAAAATAATGAGTAGTTTCTGAAAAATCTCTACACCAAAATAAAGCCTACTAAATTTCCAGCCAGTGAGGAGAAACTTCAGGCAAGGAGAGGAAAAAAAAAGGGCAGGAGAAAGAGAATATTTTGCTTTCTGCACGTGCCCGAGATTTTCAGACCACCATTTTGCATTTGGATCGAAAGGCCATCGAGTGTACGAGCTGTCAAGGGGTTCTTGGTAAGTTTGAGCTTTTAAAACCACAACAGTGACTCGAAATCTGCTCGACTAGCTTCAAAACACAGTTTTCCACAAAAGCTGCGGCCATTAATGGGTTAACGTGGAGGTACGGTGGCCTCATGGTTAGTGCGCTTGACTCCGGATCAAGTGGTCCGGGTTTGAGCCCCGGCCGGGACATTATGTTGTGTTCTTAGGCAAGACACTTTACTCTCAGTGCCTCTCTCCACCCAGGTGTATAAATGGGTACTGGCAATTTAATGCTGGGGGTAACCCTGCGATGGACTGGCCTCCCATCCAGGGGGAAGTAGAAATACTCCTAGTCGCTTCATGCTACCGAAACTGGAGTTAAGCACCGGCCTAATGGGCGCTAGGCTTGTAAACAGACATTTATCTTTAACATGCAGTAACAAATCTATGACATTCAGATATTGTCCTTGCAACCTGTTCCAGGAATTAGAAATATTAGCTGTAGCATTATCCTACATTTGTATGAAATACCATCTACTATGTACATGTAAATTAAGATTATAATGTTCATTTTTATCACATCCATTTTGAAATCACTGGTGATCCTTGTAATTTGATTGGCTCTCATTGGAGCGACTCATTCACAAAACATTTTTTAGCACTAAAATGCATCTTTTCCCAGCCAGTGAGGGAGCTTTATTAAAAAAACAACAACAAATAGCTTGTTTAAAGAAAGCAATCAAATTACAGGAAAATGAAGAGCAACTTTTGCAACTTTTGCAACTTTTGTACAGACTTGAAATCCATTGTCTAAGCAATAGAGTTTTGCATTTTCAAAATGAGTGCAATGAAGTGGTAACTGAACTTTGTGGCATGCAATTTTGGTCAGAAATCATAATTGTGATTTCAAATCAAACTCACTCTGCACTTGTTGGATTTCAAAATCACGCACATGATTTTAGACAACTCAGCTCAAGTACCATTAGGCACATAAGTCAATTAAGTAACCTCACCACTGACCAACAAATTCAGTTACACAGGTGTACCTACTGTATATTAACATAATCACAGCTCCATGCTAACAGTACCCAACTAGCCAAAGACTAGTAGAAATTCAGTTTTGGTCAACAACTGGTGGTTTTTGATTTCCGCTTACCAGTTTGGCTAGCAAAGAAACTGAAATTGATGTACATAACATCATGACTTAATCCACTTGGCTAGTAAGTTGAAAAGTTAGCGTTGAGCCCAGATAATGTGTACTTGTAAATATTAACATTCTCTGCAGTAATCATTGTAAAATGTTACATCTTTTCCCTCTTTAATTCCAAATCCATTTTGTTAAAAAAAAAAACTCTTTCAAATATTAATCTTGAATATAAATTCAACCAAATTTGACCACACTGAAACCTAATTGACATTGCACATTTAACAGATAACAAATGAAAAAGAAATACAATAAAATATTAAAACAGCACTTAAGCAATAAAAAACAAATGTACTTACTCATGAAAACCTAGTTAAAAGCAAGTACAATAGGGGCTCTGTTAAATCTTTGAATTACTAGCCTTCTAAAATAGTTTAAAGAGCATCTTACTGCTCTCAATCTCTTAAGATTTTATTTTTATTTATTAGCATTGTAAACAACAAAAATGATAATTATAAACCCCCTTATCCAACATAAATAGTCTCTCAGTTTCAAGTGAATTGCAACACTGGTATATGTGCATGCATGTACAGTGCATAAATGAAAACAAAAAAATGAACAAGAAAAGAAACAAAAAAAAAATCAATTGCAAAGCAGGGCTCAACACTTAAACTTTTCAACTAACTCGCTGAGTAGCTAAGTGACAACTTAGATGTTACAACAATTTCAATTTGTTTACGAGCCTGAAACTGGCGAGGAGAAATAAAAAACCACAAGCCAAAACTGAATTTCTACTAATCTGTGGCTAGTTGGCTACTGTTTAGTGTCAAACCCTGCCAAAGTAAACATGTTAATTGAAATTATCAACATCCTACTGAAGTATTCATTGCATTTTACTGAAGCATTCATTGCATTGTAACCCCCTCTTAACTGAGTAAGGATCCTTCCAGTGAAAGTTCTCTGAGAGCCATTTATAATCCTGGGTGGATATGTAGACACCATAAGAGAAAAGTGTCTTGCTCAAGAACCAGCATTTTCCCTTATTTTGAGTGTGACAGTTAAATAAAATTTTCAAACGAGTAGAGCAATCCCAGGTCTTTTACTTGTTGAATTTTCCAGTCCATCAAGTGATTTTAAGTGGTGATGTGGGATAATATAGGTGGTAAATTTTACTGGTTACTTTCAGAAATTGAGAATATTAAAGACAATGAAACTCAATGACTGTCCTTGGGAAAATCTTTTCATCTCAGAGTCCAGCACTAAAAAACCACCCTGTCAATGGTCATTTAAAAATTTTCTAATATACTGCACAGAGAAAGAGAGAGCAAAATTAGTCAAGGTAAAGAGAGAAATCAATCAATCAAGCCACATCTATTCCATGAAAATGTAGCTACGTGCCAATAAAACCTTAAACAATCAAAATCTGTCTTTTGCAAAGAGTTTGCAATATCAAGAAGTGAAAGAAAAATTGTTCTTAGGTCGGTGCTGAGAAACACATTGTTTACAATTACAGATGCTCAGCATGAATTCTAAAATAAAAAAAGACTAGATGTGGTTGTGGAGTGAGACAAGAAGATAAACTAGGCATGTTCTATTCATTTCTATTCATTCATTCATACTGCCTCCCGGTTAGCTCAATTGGTAGAGCGCCAAACTGTTGTGTGGGAGGTCGTGAGTTCAAATCCGGCCGGACCAACACTCAGGGTCTTTAAATAACTGAGAAGAAAGTGCACCCTTTGTAATAATATCTGCAAATGGTTAGACTTTCTAGTCTTCTCGGATAGGGACGATAAATGGAGGTCCCGTCTCATAAGCCCTTGTATGTGAAAAAATTTGTGGGACATTAAAGAACCCACACACTGTTCGAAAAGAGTAGGGCACGTAGTGCCCGGTGTTGTGGTCTATCTTTGTGTAGTGTCTATCAAAATTGATTGGGGGGAATGCGCCTTTGAATATTGTATAGAAAGGGCACAATATAAATAAGGAATTCAAATTCATTCATTCATTTATATTTAAAATGTTTTGCATTCCAATGTAATTTTTGGCCATTTTTTTTCCTGTGAATATAACACAATCACCAAGGAAAGGATGGCCTAACATTTAAAATTCAGATAATAGTCTGTCACACAACCACCTTCATTCAAATTTACTTTTCCTAGAAAATCACATATTATGTAATCCGAAGGAAGCTATTAAAATTCTAGATGCTTTACGAAAGAATTTCCGACATAAAGAAAAGTCCATGTTCAACAAATAGAAGCAAATTGAAAGCTGTTGAAGCTAATTACAATGTACAATTTTATTCTTTTGTGTCAGCCTTTGCGTTTACAAAATAAATATCAGCATCTGGCGTGTGGAAATTTCAGTATAATAGAACATAAATTATGCGCACAGCTCACATTAAGGCTAAAAAACGGCAATCAAGCTTCGCGTGAGAGAAATAATAACCAAGTATAGCATTTTTAAATATTCTTTAAAAAGAGAAATGCGAAATATTTGGAATGCAAACGCCGGAAAAAGTAAAATCACATGGTGTACGAATAGATGCGGGAAAAACTATAATTTCGTCACGAATCGAATGGCATTCACCAAATTCGCTATTTCCATTTAAAAATATAGAATTACCTCAGAAAGCAAATAACTTCGACTGTCCGAAGACTTAAAAAAGCAGTGAATTCGACCAAATATCGAATTGTATGTGTAAATATAATTTCCACACACGTTTGTAAATAAACACTACGCTTTGTTAGCCTTCTGTGATGAGTAATAAGCTTGCTTACAAATTAAGGGTAAGCACGAAAAAAAATCTACTTTTTATCTAAATTCCTTCTGGAGTTGTCTATACCAGCACAGTTGCATAAAGGTGAATAAATCATTGTAGCGTTGAGATAACTCTAATAAAAATGAAGAAAAAGTGTTGATGTCGACAAAAGTGACGTCAGCTTACGATGCCGGTAAATATTTACTAGCAACTTCAACCCAACCGGTAATTTGTACTAAATGCTTGCTCCACCTTATTACTGGTAGATCGGTTACGATCGAGACAAGAGATAAGAATAACCCGGTAAAATGTTAGTATGAGCCGTATCTTAAAATTAAAGTTAATGAAATTTTAAAAAGGTAAACTGATTTTCTCCAAGCATATGAAATATGTACCTGCATGAACAGCTTAAGTTAATCCTTATGAATGATTTACCTGGGAAAAATTGTATTTTGCCGATGACTCCATACACAATTCCACGGCATTTCAATGACCAAGCTTCACCCAAATCGACTCCTGCGATAAATAAATTTCAAATTACTGTTGTAATTGTAACACCGGGTGACAATCGATCCTAAAAGGTTTCACCCAAACACCGGTCGAAGAACAAAACGCGGGCTTACCAAAGCGCGGTTGAAGGCGGCCGTCGAGCCTGTTACACCACAAACTATCCGGTCCATTTAGAATGATGAAGTTGTCCTGAGCTTGGAAGAGTTCCATCTTTCAACCAGGAGCGAGGGACGAAGTGTAAATCCCATCTGTAAGCATTACCCCGACTTGCGAATTTGTCTGTCAATGCTTCCTTGCCGCCATGTTGTGTTTTGGGTCGAATGCCTTTGTTACCCACAACTCCCAGCGGACTTGGCAAACTCTGTGCGCACGACATCTTACTGACCTCCAAGACAGCGTGTTATTGTTTGGTTACCGGTCCCATTGCTTGTTGCTTTCTTTCACTAAATGATATTAATAGATGATTTCTTTGTTTTTCCAAGGTGAACATTTTTCCACGAATTAAATACCTGATTCCGGTCGCTGTGTGCGAAAATCCTTTCAATCAGAATTGAAAATATACTGGTTTTGACATAAAATTTTTTTTGAGGTGTTGATGCGGAGGGGGGAGGGGAAGGGCTTAAGGAGACGTCAATCTTTACCCCCGGTGTCCCCAGTCCACGAACGACGCAGTATTGCGGCAACCTTCCTCCCTCAAGACATTGCAAAATTGAAAATAGACTGAACCATGGACCGAACTGAAAAAAAAAAAAATCAGCCTTAGAGTCCATGTAAGTCACGACTCTAGCAATCTGATAATGTTTCCTTAACGAAAAAAATAAATAAAAATGGTAATATAGTAATAATTGTTAGCTGTGCTATTGTTTATATTTAAAAAGCGCCTAAATAATTTTCTTCATTTTATATTATACTAGCAATATATTAAGGGCCTACTTCAAGAGAGACCTTTAAAATATTAATTCCTTCGCTGAAAAAGAACCTCATAGAGCAACAACAGAATCGAATCAAAAGATCACGCGGAAAAGAATTAAAAACGTCCCTTACTACCCCCCCCCCCCCCCCCTTAAGAAGAAGTTAAACAGGATATTCATACAAGTACCTTGGTAATCTCCGCTGTCATTTTGCAGACAGACCGTAAGATGTACATTTTTCCTACGCTACATGTAGTCAGCGGACTTACCAACGAGCTCAATTCCTTTAGGTAACCATTCTGTTGCTTAGAGATTAACTGCCAAGCTGACTTCTTCACTTGAATTGTTTTTGAAAAACGAGGCGTCAAGAGCTGAATATTTTCAGGTATGATTTAGTACTATATATCACACCGTCTGCCGATAAATGTTTTTGAATGGCTTTAAGCTACTAAGTAACCTTAACTTCATATCTGAGCGCTAAAGCAAGTATCGGAAAGGACGGTTATCATCATAAATGATGCATTCGTTTCTCCTTACAGGAAAATTGTTCCACGCTGCAAGCGCTTGCTAGCGCAATAGAAAATCGCGTAAAAAGGTAGGAAAAAATTTTTCGTCACATTAGACAAACACAAAAAGAAAAACAACCCCAAACTGTGAGCAAAGGGACTAATTTCATTGCAAATTTAACGAAATAAGTTGAGATGCAGTAATAAGTGTTACTTGTTTATAATCATTACATGCACTTAAAAAGTAATTCATATTTTCTCTGTGTTGTGTAAGACGTCTTAGTGAACGAGGGGGTTTTGTTTCACACAAGATGTACCGTCATTTTCAAAGAAGCTAAAAAACGATTACCGTCTACCTAAAGAATAATCACTTATCCAGAGCCCTGAGTACACGTTGCTTTTCGCGAGATCTACAAAAAATGAATTAACGTGTAGTGTTTTAAATATAAACATCGTAATGGTCTCCTAAACCCAAGAGTTTACTGTATCTTAGTGATCAAGTATTGAATCGAAACCGAGAAGTTCCTCGGTTTGATTCCTTAGACCTTTTATTTCTTCTTCTCTTAAAATTGTGACCAAACGTTTTTTAAAACAATTTTCATCAAATTCAAAGTGGTCCAACTCTCTTTTCGTAATGAAATTAACATTTGGTTACAATGTATATATGAAGTTCAAATATTGAACTGCGGTATTAAATACGTATGATGCACGATCCTCGCAGTAGAGAGCGCTATTTATGCAATAGCGAAAATCAGACCTGAAAAAAATCAGGCCTGATTTTTTTCAGGTCTGATTTTCGCTATTGCATAAATAGCGCTCTCTACTGCGAGGATCGTGCATCATACGAAATTAACATTGTTGCTTAGTTAAGTGGCAGCTTCGTTAATAATGCTGCGAAATGTTTAGGATCATATAAAAGACAGCTTTTTCATTTACAGTAATTACTC